ATGAATGAGAAGAGAAGGAAACAAGATAAAGGCAGACCCATGGGGAAAGAGATCATAAGAGACAAAGGAGAAGAGGAAAAGGGTGATAATTGCTGTGCACTTAGAGTGCCTGGTGGGGACAGTGTCAGCTCACTGAGTCACTAGTTCCCTTAGTGTTACACACATACATCTGAAAACTCTTCATTCAAACTATACAGACTTCTTGAACAATTTCCAGGAAGTTAGCTGTGGTTTACTAAGCTCTGCCTTCAGTATTGAAAGCACTAATTGGAGGCCCCAAACTAACCTTCTCTTAGCCTGGAGAACACTTGGAATGTAGTCTTTCCAAGGACATCTTACCCTTTACAACTCTAATACAAATGAAAGGATTATTTATCATCCCTCTATCAACTGTATTTCATCGATCTATCTGACTTCCTATCTCTCTACCGACTTTCAATGATAGAGTTAACTGTTGTTCCAGCCTGATGGTCATTTTATCCACAGCCAGACCAATTGCCAAACTGCGGTGCAGTAAGAAGCAAAGCTCCCAGATCAGGTGGACACAGTCTGACTGAATGCCGAGGAGCACACCAGAGCACATGGATTTGGGTGGCTTTGCACCATGACATTTCAGTCAGACTGCACGTAAACCTTGTTCTTAGAACTTCGGCAGCTGGCCTAATCATGTCCTCTCTTGATCTGAGAATAATGTTAGATGAACAGCAAGTAGGATAAAGGGGGAAATCTTATTTCCAAAAGAAAGTGAAGATTGTCAGTAAAGAGCCAGGCTGCTTTCAGGTGAGACCTCAAATAAAGAGGCATAGCTCCAGAGCTCAAAAAGGAGGGTGGTCAGGATGGATGTTGGATTGGAGTCATGGTAGGATTTGGAATGACTCAGGCTGGGAAATGAAAAGACCCAGAGATGTATCCCAAGAGATATCAGTAGCTCAAAGACCAGAAGACAAAAACAGAAAGACAAAAAACAGAGGAAGCATATCTGAAATAAAGAATCGAGAAGGAAGCATAGTGAAATAAAGGAACCATGAAGGGGGCTCTAGGGGGCAGCTGGGCATGGCTGGAGGGAAGAAAGGGAAAAGGGAATTCTATTTTAATTAAAAACACAGTTTTTAAGAAAAGAAAAAAATGAATTAATCTAATTGGAAACCAACAAAGATTTTTCTTAAGAAAGCCAGAGTTACCTTTGAGGTAGATTAAGATGGGAAGATAAATCGTTTAATTTCTTCTCTACAAAATGAGATCAGTGGATGAGTAAGCTGAGAGGCCTTATATCAAGATTAACACAGTAAGGGATAATGTAGCCCCCTTAAATTCCCTCTGCTGTTTTTAAACTACTAGAATACAATTTTCATAAGAGATATACATCATTCATTACTTTGAAAGAAGACACATAGAGACTGTAGAAAGAATCTTTATATTTTAGTATTTAATATGGGGACACTGTATTGTTCAATGTCATTTATGTATTCCTGCCTGAAATGTATAACCCAAACAAATGTAATCATAAGGAAAGAAAAAAAACTTAAATGACGAATACTGATTCCCCCCCCCCTTTTTTTTTTGAAGTATTGTGCTCTTCAAATATACAAGTGTCATGATAAAGCAAAGAAAGCCTGGAGAAACAGTCCGTACAAAAGAAAACTAAATTCAGGAGTTACTGAATGTAAAACCGTATCCTAGATTCACCACTGTACTGTTATAATGGACATTGTTAAGGTCATTTGACAAAGGTGGAAAACTGATGGTAGGTTAGTAAAATGTGTTCTATCAATAGAAAACTGGCTTGAGGTGATAGTTTTACTGTGATTATGGAAAAAATATGCCTACTGTATAAGATCATGCTGATGTACTTTAAGGTCAGGTGCTTTACAACCCATACAATTTAGGGAAGTGGGCAAGGGAGTCTACTTTAGCATTGCAAACAACCAAGCTGATATAATTTGCATTCAGAGCTTATACTGTAAGCACTCCATGACAGGTGTGAGTTTATATTTGATCTATTGTAATTTGTAAGAAATGAAACTGGGCTATTGAAGGTAGAGTTAGAAAAAGAAATTAATACTAGGGAGCTTAACAGAAGAAAAGTGTAATGTATTTATGCATATACATACAAACATACATACATACATACATGCATACATACGAATGTGACAACAATAATAAAGGTATCAACTTGAGAGTAAGGGACCCATAAGAGGTGCTCAAGGGGGGACCTGGGGGGCCTGGAAGGAAGAAAGGGAAGAGGGAATTCTATTTTAATTAAAAACACATTTTTTAAGAAAAGAAAGAATAATGAATTAATCAATTGGAAAAAATGAAAAGGAGAATCTACTCATTGTTCAAGAGTCAAGACATGCATGAATGCCTCTCCGGTGCAGATCTTAATTGTAAGTCATGTGTACAGAGATCAAAGCAAGTCCCAGCTCTCCTCTCTGAACTCCCAGCCTGTCATCGTCAAATCCCAGTGTGTCACACAGGCAGAATTGCTCATGAAGAGTACAGGAAAATTTGGAAGCAATTAATTTTCTATATTTTTACATTTGACAGCAGGTAATTTAATGGTACTGTGTGCTTACAGCTACTACAAGTTGAGAATTTATCTAAATAATAATAATTAGGACCAGAAGTATTTCAAATTTTCAATTGTGGTACAGAAATTAGTGTTTATACATCCTTAAACATAAGATTCGAGTCAAACACAAAGCTACTTCCTTCATCTATGCCTTGCGTACATGCTCTAAAACTCACTTTACATAACATTTTTGGTGCAATTGCATTTGGCTGTGACCCATCCCATGAGGTCAGGTGGGAAGCTTTCTACCTGCAGAGTCAAGTAAGCACACTAAAACTTGGGGATTTGGGAGCTGTTTGAATTTCTTTCTTTTGGATTAGGGAAGTTCAGTCTACTTCTGAGCTTTAGAAAACAAACATGACTAACAAATTCCCTGGTCTGGCCAAGGGGTTCTTTGATCTGCAGAAGCCTGATCATAAGCAATTGTCTTTTCCAGATGTTCTGCACTTGCGCACTTTCTGAAGAAAGCTAGCATCTGGAAAGAAAGAGGCTACATAGCATTTCAAACACTGAAGAATTACCTTGAAAATATAGAGTACAATCCATTCAAAAGGCTGCTTGCAGCACACAGTAGCCCCACTGCTCAGGAATAAGCATGAGAATTTGCAGTTTGGTGCTAGCCTAAGTGTGAACATCTCAAAAAATAAAAAAAGGTGATTCAGCATGTGATTCTGCAAATGGTGCAGCTGAAGAGAGAAGATGAACAGCTCGTGGCCTGTGCAGTACAGATGCTGAGATTAAAATGGCACAATCTTTGTTCTTTGATCATAAATATGTTGGTCACATGTATGATCTTGACACCTTTTATTTCCCATCCTCTGACTTTGTCTAGCTTGTTTTCTCTCTCTTCTCTTTTCATTCCCGATTTTTCTATAATTGATGTTTTCCAATGCATAGAAATGGAGTTATCATAAACTCCTTTGTGTGGTGATCTCTGACCATCAATAACTGAGGAAGATGTCTAGCAATTAGCAATGTGTGTGCTGGTTAGAAAAAATTCTGAAGGTTCCAGTGCCCAGAAAAAAAACCACAGATTTTCTGCTTGATTCATTGGAAAGGGGTGAGAAGTGACTCCTGGAAACTACTTTTTATAAAGATTTGGGGGCATTCACCTTGATCAAAGAGGCTTGGTAAGAAATGACTGTAGGGGCTCAGTGGTTAATTTTTTCTATAAATTTTACTCTTTTTTCATCATAGTTGCTTTTTAAAATCCATTACTCATGAGTGGGAGAAAGCAAAGTTTCTTCAATAAAGGTATTTTTGAAGTTCCAATTCTGTATACCTTCTATTGTTTCAAAAGAACAGAAGCAGTGGTACGTCCCACCTAAGATGAGTGACAGGTCTGTTGAGAGAAAAGCCAGATGAACTTTACAAGTCATGAGACCTTCTGAGTCTTAGAAATCCTTGTCATTGCTCCTGAAGTCAGCCAGCTGCCACACAGACTGACAAAGCACAATTCTCCAAAAGAAGTCGCTCCTGAGAGACTTCCTGTTTCACGCTTAACTGTGTCCATATCTGGACCACATGTGAACTCTGACACACAGTGGACAGAGCCAGAGTGTAGGGAATCAGTGGAATGATCCCGCTTTATCAGAGATTTCTAGCTAAGTGATAATAAATTATGAAAAGTGACTAAAAAGTGATTTCTGTATGGTTTTTATTTTACAAAAAGCTAAGAGAGAAATGACTTAGAGCAGATATTTCATCTTTCATCCTTCATCTAAGGAGAAGGCAGTAAGCAGGTGCAAAATCTGAGAGGGGAATACTGAGATCCCATTAAAGGGAATGGCACAGCAGGTGTCTCAAGAAGTAAGAGCAAACGTGCTCCTTGGACTCTGGTCTTTATCACAAAGGAGTACTCTGCCTTTGGGAATAAGGCACATCATTCTTCCTTGGAAAAAAGAAGAAAAACCAGCTGCTAGTCTGTCTGGTATCTTCCATCACTGTCCCTTTCAAAAACAGAAACACTCTCCAAGCTGATAGGAAGCCTTGGAGATCAGCACCTTTAAATAGAAACACTGGTTTCAAATGCCAGCCACAGTCGTGCATGAAGGCAATATTTTCTTAAGTTGAAGCAACAGCCAGTTCTCAACCTCTAGCAAATGGTAATTTTTTGCTAAACGAACCAGGGCCTTTGGTCAACTTACAAAACACAAAAAAAAGCTAGTCCCACCACATTTCCAGATCCCTGAAGTTGTGCTGGCTTTATGTTCGCATTGATTCAGGCTTTTCAGAGTGTTTGTTGCACCACAGAGGATGATTACTGGGTTTTGCACAGGGTTGTTTAGCCCAGTTAAAACTCAAAGAAATTAGTAGCCTCTGCGGAGGTCTGGCTAGCCTGTCCAAAGCCACCATGCTCATGTGACTTGACCTCCCACACCATACTGCCTCTCATTTTTGACCAATGTCTTCCTGTTTGCTTTTGTAGGTTTCACAGCAGCAGCCTCCCTTGTGTCCTTGGCTTGGGCCCTAGCCTCCTACCAGAAGGCTCTTCGGGACTCCCGGGATGACAAAAAACCCATCAGTTACATGGCCGTCATCATCCAGTTCTGCTGGCATTTCTTCACCATCGCTGCCAGGGTCATCACATTTGCCCTCTTTGCCTCCGTTTTCCAGCTGTATTTTGGGATATTCATTGTCCTCCACTGGTGCATCATGACCTTCTGGATTGTTCACTGTGAGACAGAATTCTGTATCACCAAATGGGAAGAGATTGTGTTTGACATGGTGGTGGGCATCATCTACATCTTCAGTTGGTTCAATGTCAAGGAAGGAAGGACACGCTGCAGGCTGTTCATTTACTATTTTGTAATCCTTTTGGAAAATACAGCCTTGAGTGCACTCTGGTACCTCTACAAAGCCCCCCAGATTGCGGATGCATTTGCTATCCCTGCATTGTGTGTTGTTTTCAGCAGCTTTTTAACAGGTGTTGTTTTTATGCTGATGTACTATGCCTTCTTCCATCCCAATGGGCCCAGATTTGGGCAGTCACCAAGTTGTGCTTGTGATGACCCTGCCACTGCCTTCTCTCTGCCTCCAGAAGTGGCCACAAGCACACTGCGGTCCATCTCCAACAACCGCAGTGTTGCTGGTGACCGAGATCAGAAATTTGCAGAACGGGATGGATGTGTACCTGTGTTTCAGGTGAGACCAACTGCACCACCTACCCCATCATCTCGACCACCTCGGATTGAAGAATCAGTCATTAAAATTGATCTGTTCAGAAATAGATATCCAGCATGGGAGAGACATGTGTTGGACCGAAGCCTGAGAAAGGCCATTTTAGCCTTTGAATGTTCCCCATCTCCTCCAAGACTGCAGTACAAAGACGATGCTCTTATTCAGGAGAGGCTGGAATATGAAACCACTTTATAAAACACAAGGAGCCACAATGTCCACATGAAGGGGTGACAGCAGGGCTGTGGCAATAATGACACCTTATCCAAGAGTAGGGCAATGAGCTATATGTTCTTAGTCCAAACATTGTCATGATATGGTTTGATCTTCCATCAGCTGACTGCCTGCTGCTGGTGTCCATTCAAGCCAGCAGTGCTGAGAGTCTCTTACTCTGTCTAAAGGGGCAATGTTAGCTTAGTATGACTGTTGCTACAAACTCCTCTAGCACAGACTTGGGGCACATTTACTGGAGGATAACATTATTGTGAAAAATGCTGCCTCTAATCATAAGGGTGTTTTGATGACGTTTACTAATTTTTTGCATAATTATGTTCACACACCACCACCACCACCCCTTTATCAAAGGAGTTAAAGTGGGGATGGAGAGATGACTCAGTAGTTAAGAGCACTGACTGCTCTTGAAAAGAACCCAGGCTTGAACCCCAGCATCCATTTGGTAGTTCACTTCAATTCTAATTCCAGAAGATCTAATGCCCATTTTTGGCCTCCTCAGGCACTGCACACACATGGTGCACAGACATATATGCAGGCAAATACTCATACACATAAAATAAAAATAAATCTCATAGAAAAAAAGCTTAGGTGATTTCCTTGAAGCAAAGCTCACAACAGACTCCAGGAAGAAGGCAGCACGCTTGGAATGATTCTGTAAACTGTTCTCTCCTTTGCAAACAAGTAGCATCAATAACAAAGCCTGTGCAGTGGACAGCAAGACTCAAGTGTTTACACTCGTACTAGCACTGATGGGATGATTCTTTTTCTACACATTTCAGGATTTGTTTTTTTACTTTTAGGTTTTGCAGATGAGAACATTCTTTATGACAGAAATCCTATGCAGCACATGTATGGCTTTTGATGAGACCAAGGAGCTGAATATCCATGATGTAAATTAAATGATAATCATGATTCAGTATTTATTTGCAAAAATACAATTTATATATAAAGAACCACTGGGGGAGGGACAGAATGAGAATCAGATTCTCAGGTGTGTGCAGCTCATATTGGAATGCACCCACAGAGCCATGGGAGAGGAAAGGGGGCTGTTTTAGGTCTGTTTCCAGGTGCAGAATGAGCATGGGTCAGCAGGTGTGATTCTGGAAACCACATGCCACATCTTTCTAGTGCCAAACTTTGTCCAATCACAGAACTGATATGGAATCCCCAAAAACTGAGAATAAGAGGTGTCCCAAAATACACAAGAGAAGAATAATCAGGTTCTCTGCTATACACAGACTTACTCTCTTCCCATCCAAGGTCAAAGTGATGCGTCTACGAGAGACTTTGGGACACCTCTTAGCAAATGAGAGCATACAGATGCAATTTGTATGCTACAAAAAAAAAAAACAAAAAACCAACTGCCTGGACTGCTTGAGGGCTTATCATTCCATCAGCTAAGATTTGTATTTGAATCATCTGTAAAGTCGTGCTCTTACAAGCTTCTGAGTTTTAAATACCTCCATACAGCAAGTAAACATACCCGCTTTCTGTTCTCCTCGGTGTCCTTGGTCATGGTGCTTTTTGTTGCATTAAAAGTGCCGGTCAAACTTTGATAGTATTTTTTTATAGTTGGTGCAGAGTGGAATAACTCATGGATTATTTCAATATTTTTGTAATAAAATATAGGGTGTACATATAGGCATTGTTGCTTTTTTTATAGACTTGGAATTATTTAAAATACGTTAAATGTCATATTCACTTGGGATGTCAGAATCCAGTCAACAAATCCATCAGCCTGCCTCAGTGGATGGAAAACACTTGTCTCTGGCAAGATCACCTTACTTATAGCAATTTGATGGCCCTGAGAATCTGAGCAGGGGTGCTATCAGAGTATTAAGTGAAGAGGGAAGTGGCCTAACTAGAAAGGGCTTGTGAAGACTGGCTAATGTCTCCCAGGAAATCAAAGATGTGATTTCTTTCATCCATCCATTAGAACAACCTGACCACAGTGGAAGATGTCTTAAAACTTCCTTGCCTGGTTTTATACTAATCCAGCTGATCTATTAAAGATTAGTCAAGTCATTAAAAAAGACAAAAGAACATCAGTTTCACACAAGTATTCACTTAAATTAGTTAAGATCTAGAGCCACCATCTGAAATGGATGTAACATCCGAAGACCGTAGTCCCCAAAGTAACATCTGCAGGAAGAAACAGAGGGCTCAACCTGGGACTTCTTTTGGTACAAAGCCCCAAAGCGATTTTTTAAGACAGACAATTTTTATCAGACATATTTCGTAATGCTCAATGATTTGAACCTTCAAGCAAGATTTCCACTACAATACTCTTTTGTTCAAATGAAAAAAATATTACCTTGCCACAGTAAACCTCCAGTACGACACTTGGCTTCTAGCAAATGGTGAACCCATCCCATTCCAGTGTTGAAGAAAATCACAATAATTTGGGCAGATACTTCGCTGGTGTGCAGAACCATGATTTATTAACTCATTAGTTCCAAGACAACTTTTAACTGATGAACTCTGAAGACTCGCCTTCCCAGGTGGATCACAGCTTTGATTTTGTGAGTGAATAACAGTTCCAATGTTATAGCATCCAGCCAAACAACCCAACAGGTTCCTGCAGTCTTCTGTCACGTAAGTTCTAAGTTACTTCTCAACTTGACCTCACATGTAACATGCTAAGGGTTAAAACAGCCATGGTACAAATAGAAGGTAATGTGCTGGGCTTGTCCTAATGGTAATATAAGTAGTCAGACAAGTGTAAAAAGCTTCATTTTTCCAGCTATTTCCCAAATAATGAAAATATTCTTGGTTCTGACTTAAGATGTTTCAGTGAATGATGAATTCTTGTTAAGGAAACAAGTTATTGACCATGGTGCAGTTGTGTCTTTCAAATGTAAGAGAAGCAAACAACAATCATAGCATTGCTCCAGCAGGAGTTAACCTTGCTCTGCTGATTCAGAAAGCACTTGCTGTTGTCAGACGGCTGTAGAATGTAGACACAGACACCGGAGATAGAAGGCAGGATACAATGAGGCATTGATAATGCACAAAGGAACAATTTTCATTCTTCCTAAAATGTTATTTTCATCTGACATGAAGCTCTGCACAAAATAGCTGAGAATAATCAAAAAGGATGAGCAATGGCTAGCACACGAACAGAAGTGAGGGACTCTTTGTCTTGGGCTCAGACTTCCAGAATCCACTTTGTTTCACTTAAAAGCAGGAACTTACTATCTTATGGTAGTCAGTGTTTCCACAGGATTGTCATGTTTTCCAAAGAGAAAAAAAAAATCTCTCTAGTTAGCACTTACAGATTAATCCAGTCGTAAAGAACACCCATAGGTACACCTTAACCATGCTGAGACTTCATTTGTGCCTATTTTCCATGTCTATCAAAGTCTGATTCCCAAGAAATTATGTTCTTTACATTCTCTACATACTTGCTTAACTGTGTCTTGTCCAGTTCAAGAACTACCTTTGCAGACACTCCATGAAAATTCATTTGTGAAGAATACTATTAGCCAAACAGATGAAATAAATTCCCTTACCAAGCGGTTAAGACTTTGTAACACTTAAGTGTTAGCAACAGACAAATTACAAAGATAATCTGAAGATAACTATCTGAGCATAAACGTAAAATAGTGAATCCTTAAACACCCAGTTTACTTTGCTTTATATTTTAATGAAGTGATATGCTTTGGAAAGATGGTTTGGCAGGATAGTCAAGGTGCTACTAAGCCTGATAGTATGCATTCAGTCCCCAGAACTCACATGATAATAGAGAGAACTGACTTCATCAAGTTGTCCCCTGACCTCCACATACATGTCATGGTATATGGATGACCCCACACATATACACTAAATAAATAGATTGAATGATAGATGATAAATAAATAGATGACAGAGAGATAATGTAGATGATAGATTGATAAATGATAGATGATAAGTAAATAGATGATAGATAATATAGATGATAGATTGATAAATGATAGATGATGATAGATGATAGATAGATAGATAGATAGATAGATGAGATAGATAGATGATTGATAAATAGATAGATAGATAGATAGATAGATAGATGATAGATAGATTGATAGATGAATATACATGATAGATTAGATAGATGAAAGATAGACAGATTGATAGATGAATATACATGATAGATTAGGTAGATGATAGACAGAGAGATAGATGATAGATGGATAGATAGATGATAGATAGATAGATAGATAGATAGATAGACAGATAGATGATAGATAGATTGATAGACAGATAGATGATAGATAGATAGATTGATAGACAGACAGACAGACAGACAGACAGATAGATAGATAGACAGATAGATGATAGACAGATAGACAGATAGATAATAGATGGATGGGTAGATGATAGCTTTTTGGAGTTTTGTGCCTATAAGATAGCTCAGCAATAAAGCTTATCACTGCTAAAGGGTGCAAGATTGGCCTGAATTTGATCCCTGAAACTCATATAATGTAAGAAGATACCAATCTCTACAGATTTGTCCTTTGATCTCCACACACAGACCATGACACAAGTGTCTTCTCACATACAGGCATTATACACACAGACATAGACAGAAAGACAGACAGACTCTCTTAGGTACACACACACACACACACACAAATTTAGAAATGCATGGGAATAGTTTAAATCTCCATGACTTTTTGAAATCACTTATAAGTGTGTTGCTAACATATAAATAACAAGGATAAAGCATATTCTTCCTTTTAATGCATAGGGAGTGGCATGTTACTGACATGTGACATTTTAGACCAGAAAATTCTATTTATTCCTTTTTTAAAAGTCAACTATCCTTACTGTCCCAGCCTATAAGACATGCAATTCCTTGCTCCTTGGCTTGAGTGCTCTTTATCATCTTTAATCATCTCATCTTTTAAGTGGCTTAATAAAGTAGTTTATATCACCTCAAAGTTCATTGAACACATGGATTAAACCAATGAGAATGTTTATTACCATACAGGGTTCTGTAAAGCTGATAGTCACTTTCAAATGCACTGGATCTACCGAGTGGAAACAAATTCTGATACAATGTTTAGACAAGAATCCTGTGAGTTTTTTCTAATGAACCACTTTCTAGACTAAATATATGCTCCCTTGCATTCGCCACATATCTTTGCCATTAGCCATGACTGTTTCTATAAAAATCTTGGATGAGATGCCTGCATTTTTATGTTTCCAAGGAAAATTCCTTAAAGCCTCTTTTAAAGATAGTTCCAACTGTCTTTCAGTATCCAAGTCTGGGGGGATGGGGCAGGCAGAAGCTGATAACACAGCAGGACCAAGGTGCACCTTGCTATAATTTTAGTGATAGATACAAATCATCTCACTTTCCTTTGACTAGTAATCCAGTGTCACTTTTGAAAATAGTCAAAGCCATTAGTTCTGCCAGCTTTGACTCATGACACCCCTTTGCTACCCAACATCCTCTGCTGCTACGTGACTAGAAATTTCTCTTTAGTCCCCTTTCTGAGTCCTTTTCTACAACCTCTACCCAGATGAGAGATGACTTAAATCCTAGGTGACATCCTTTTTTCTCTCTCAGGCACCTATAGTAGTATCAGGTCATGACAAAGCTCCCTGTCAACAGGTCTTGTCCAGTTGCTGTCCTAAAAATAGGCCTACTGCTAGACTCTAGATATTTCCCTGTGACGGACTGCCTCAACAGGATCATTACCCATTAGAACGTAAAACTGCAGCATGTGGGTGGAATTGGATAAAAACGTAATGAGTCATTTAATTTTACTAATTGTAGCAATTAGGATAGCTCACAAGCAGCTACCATAGCAGAGAGCCAAATGGAAGAAGTGGCAAGCAGCCATGTGTCCACAGAAAAAAGAGGCTCAGGCACTCTCCAAAGAGTGGTCAAAGCATCAGATAACCTTACTGTCTACCTGAACTTTCCCCTAGATTCCATGAGGAAGCAACAATTTAGACTCTTATTATATTAGAGATAGTAATCCTGCTCAGAAATAAAAACTGAAGCAACCTGGGTGGCCTAGGCTTTGCTGTGCAAGCATGCTGACTCCTTCTGACTTGCTAATCATTTTGTTTAAATGCTTCCACATTATACTGATATGACACAAACTCAGACACAATCTTAGTTGAATATTGCTTTGGTTATTTTGTTTGCCTATAGATTTCCTTGTGGCTTGATCCCATATCAGTTAGAATTTTCATCATTAAGAATTTGCAATATGTTAGAGCTGTACTCAAGACCCTTACCTCTGGGATCTCCCTTACCCCTCTCAACTAACGGTGAGTAACATCAGATGATACAGTCCAGAGATGGCAAATGGCTTGCCAAAGGCACCACAGCTAAGCTAGGGAAACATAAAGACAAAAGTTAGGCCCAGCTTCTACCAACAGAAATATTCCCAAGAACAGTGGTTATCCCACCAAAGCCTGATTTTGATCCAACAAGTCCAATGGAGAAAGAATCATGTTTTAATTTTTCCAGGAACATTTTATTCAAGTCAAAAAGATCTCTGGGTGCTAAGAAATAGAAGTCTCTATTGTGAGAACCTGAGTAATGCTTCAAATTTGAC